TCTTGTTATCTGTTGAATGATTGTCTCTCACTCTCCTTGGCCTTAATAAAACAGACATGTCAATAAAGACATCGGCTTCCTTTTTAAATGGCTTCCTACCATTTAATTTTAAATAAATTAAGTGAGAAACGAACAACGTTGAGTACAGATAGTAACTGTACTATCTGTACAGTTACTATCTGTACTCACCAAATGTGGTCAGTGCAACCTCGCAGTGTTTTAGCCTGGTGCATTCAGTCATCAGATTTTTTTCATTTATTTATTTATTTTTAAGTAACCAGTTGCAAAGCAGTGTCCGTCAAGCAAAAATCAATTTCTCAGTGCATCACTACTGGTAGCAATTACTTGTATTGAGAATTTAAGTAGAATTGCTAGGTAAGATTATTGTTTTACAGATGAAGAAATGTACCTTGATTACAATGCAAGTCGTACAGATTGTAGCGCTCGCCTTTAAGATGCAAACTTGAGTGCAGAATGCTTTCTAGGCAGCAGTTTTATTATTTAACTGTGGTGCAGCTTTACGGTGTGAATCCCAGTCGGGTTTCTGTCTACTTTACAACAACTGCCAACTATGAATTGCTCTTGAGTTGTTCTTTGTCTTGGCCTTGTGAGTGACTGCTGACCTCTCCAGGTTGTACCCATCTTTCTGACCTTTGCTACAATTCAGTGTTGTTCATGATCTCTTCAAAGGAATGAATCATTTGAGGGAACAAACTGAAGCATGTTGCTGCTTTAACTGATTCATTCATTTCTCAGTTCGGGTGAGCTCGACGCCTGTGTGCCGGTTGGGTGGAACTTCTGTTTTCTGTGGCTCATAAAATGTATGATAAAGATTTACCCAGTGACAGATGCACCACTGCAGCACAATTACTGTGCTGGTCATTGTTCACATTGTGACACGACCCTTTAACACGTTATGTAGACCTAATGTAAAACAATAACATGAGTTTCTTCATGCAATGTGCTTATTTTGGACTCGACTCTATCCAAATGGATTTCCAGTTAGTGAAATAAACAAGTAAAATACATGTGACTTAATGTCTGGTTGTTAAATATATATTTTTACACTGAAATTAAAACATGAAATAAAAAAATAGGAAAATACGAAATGCAATGTCAAATTGGAAACAAAAATCTAGAAATACTTTAAATTTTATGATTTTTATGTCCATTAAGATCATGAGGACAGGGCACCGTTTTATTTTCATGTGGATTGATGCAACATTAGCCGTTAGCTTGGAGAAGCAGCAAGTGACACACAGTGCGATCACGTTCCAACTCAAAGGAGGCGCTGTTTACCACAAATGAACTGTTCGATCCAGTGACTGGATCATTTTAATGTACTGTTCCCAGAGATTCAGTTCACTCAAATGAACTGTTGTTCCTGTTGCTGCAATACGGAAGTGGGAATAGAAGATGGAGGGCTTAACTGTCATTCACTGCTGCGTGTCTTTCAAAGTACGAGAGCTAACCATCTCTTCTCTCTGTTTCAGCTTTAGGTGGTGCACGTGTAGGAAGACAGAGAGAGAAGGAAAGAGGAAATGGAACTGCCAAATCATGCCAAACAACTGCTGCTGCAACTCAACCAGCAGAGAGCCAAGGGCTTCCTCTGTGATGTCATCATTGTGGTGGAGAACGCTCTCTTTCGCGCCCACAAGAACATCCTGGCCGCCAGCAGCATTTACTTCAAATCTCTGGTCCTCCACGATAACCTTATTAACCTCGACACGGAGATGGTGAACCCCTCTGTGTTCAGACAAGTCCTGGACTTTATCTATACTGGAAAGCTCCTGTCGTCGTCAGACCAGAGCAGTGAGCAGAACTTCAGTGCCCTCTTGACCGCAGCCAGCTACCTCCAGCTACATGACCTCGCTGCCCTGTGCAGAAAGAAGCTCAAGCGCAGCAGTGGGAAGTCCCTACCAGGAAAACCCTCCACCCCAGGTCCGCTCAGCCGCTTGCGCCTCAACAACCAGCGTCTCTCCTCTTCTACCCCTGCTGGTCCCAACAACCACTATCCTCCGACCCCTTCTGATGCCGACCAACCACAGCCAGATGAAGGCCTTCGGGACAAACTGTCAGATGATGAAATGTTTGTTGGGAGCTCTGGGAAAACTGGGAATGGGGGAAATGGCAGCAGTAACGGTAATCTCAGCAGTGGGGCAAGTGCTGGAGAGCCAGATCTTGGGTTAGATCTGTCCAAGAAGAGTCCTCACTCTGCTGGCACAGCCATCGACGCCCTCAGTCCACACAGCAACTCCCAAGAATCCCCCCAATCTGCCTCAGTATCCACAACCAACAGTGCCTCGCTGGATGACTCCTCAACCACCCTGCCAGGTGTAGACGCATGCATCTCAGAGAACATGGAGCTAAATTCCTCCAAGACGCTAGAGGACTCCCAAAACCAGCCCGAGGGCCCACCGCCCCAGAAAAAGACTCGACATGCTGCTCGTAAGAACGAATGGCCCAAAAAAGAGGCATTAGGATTGAAGTCTGAAGATCATGACAGGCCTTTGGTCAACGGAGTGATTGTAGGTCCTAAAGATGGCCGCTCCTCTGGCGCTGGTGGAGGCAGTGGTAACAGCTTTGCATCTGACCAGTCCTTCCAGTGCAAAGATGAGGAAGAAGGGGGAGAAAATGGCCAGGACCACAGTGAAGAAAGTGGTCAGAGTGATGGAGAGAGTGCAGGGGGTGGAGCAGGAGCAGGAGGCGGACACCATAGCGCCAACTATGTGTACCGGCAGGAAGGTTTTGAGCCAGCGTTTGGGGACAACCTCTATGTGTGCATTCCCTGTGGTAAGGGCTTCCCCAGTTCTGAGCAGCTCAACGCTCATGTGGAGACCCACACTGAAGACGAGCTCTACATCAAGGAAGAGGGAGGGACCTTTGTGAAAGAAGAGGACGAGGAGGAGGCGGAGGACCTCTCTGCCCCTGTAGGTCCCTCCAGCTTTGGCTCCGAAACTCGTCCCTTCAAATGCACCGTGTGCAGCAAGAGCTACAAAGACCCCGCAACTCTGAGGCAGCACGAAAAGAGCCACTGGCTGACCCGGCCCTTCCCCTGCAACATCTGTGGCAAAATGTTCACCCAGAGGGGAACCATGACGCGCCACATGCGCAGCCACCTGGGCCTCAAGCCATTCGCATGTGAAGAGTGCGGCATGCGGTTCACACGGCAGTACCGCCTAACGGAGCACATGCGAGTTCACTCCGGGGAGAAGCCGTACGAATGCCAGCTGTGCGGTGGCAAGTTTACCCAGCAGCGCAACCTCATCAGTCACCTGAGAATGCACACCTCACCCTCTTAGAAACGCATCAAGCCAAAGAACTACAGGAAGAGAGAAAAAGGAACATTTCTCCACCTTTTTTTCCATCTCAGAAGCAAAGAAATGCACACACAACACACACACAGTTCTTGAATCTGATTCCAGTTCACGACACCCTGGCTGAGTGAACGGTGTAGCTGCTCGCCACAGTGCGCTCTCTTGGTGACGGTGGGATCCCATTGATGCAAGGATAGGGTCATCGGTTATAGCGAATGACAAGTGCTCGCCTCTCAGGAGTTTTTAGAGGGACTATTTACTTGTGTCTCTCTCCAAAGTCACAAAGCCATGGTGGAGAGGCACAGTTGGTTAAATGTGAATGTGGGCACCTCGTACCCCTCAGCCGCCTTCCTCTCTTCGTGGTTTAAGCATTAAATCTTAAGAGTTTCTCCCCCCACTGTTCCTAAAACAACTTTTGACCAAAAAGAAGTAGGTGCAAACAAAACTGGCAATAATTCAGCAAAAAGAAAATTTTTACCCTGACAGCTTTATGATGTTGGTGATGCTATATGTATGAAAGAGGAGGGGTAACTGGGTATGGGACCATCTCTGTGCTTTACCTGAAAGTCTAGAAAGAGAGAACGAAAAGCTTTTCTCAGGAGGACATGTTTGTTTGTAGAAGGTAACAAATACTCTGTGTCCTCTCTGTGGCTGTTTGAATTGATGTAGACGAGAGTTTTTATTCAATTTTGTTTTTTTTTAGATTTGCCTGCTAGAGCTCCAAGGAAAGAAGCTGGAAAGAGAAAACCCTTTGTGGTAGTACTCGTACTTTAAGAGCTTGTCATGTTTCAGTGAATGTTTTAAACTGGAAGGTCTTGGGATTTTTCTGGTCAAGTGCGGGTGGGGGGTTGGGGTTGTTGGGCAGGGAGGGAGGTTTAAAGGGGTGTTTTAAACCTAACGCTATGTTCAGTGGGTACGTTATATTTTTCTGTATAGCTTTCCTCCCCTTGGAAAAAAAAAGAAGTCTATTTATATATAGGCTTGTGACCTCGCTACCTCTGATTACTCTATGAACTCTGTCGATTTAGTTAAGTTGCTTATGTAATTAATTGTAAAAAGTGTGTAGATTATGTAACTTCTCACCCAATGCTTTAACCTGCCCATCTCTCAACACAGGTTTTTGATGCTCATAGATTTTACACATTCTGATTGTCTCTAGCTGATATTTGTACTTGTCAAGATATAACTTTTCTTTTTTTTTATTATTTTCATGTTTTTGGGACCCGGCTCACCGTGGCCCCCAATTCAAAGTGTACTGTAGCGTCCAGCTTGGAGCAAATAGTGGTTTGTTGGTTAGTTTTAGATGTATAGTGTTCCAAAGATCTTATGAATGTCGAGGAGAACTGAACTAACTAACAAACATTGCTAGACAAGTTCATAACCAAAGTTTAAAAAAAAAAGATGTACTTAAGATATATAGCATACTAAATTATTTCTCTTTTGATTTCTTTTAATTCTGTATAAAACAAAATAAGAATTATCTTCTAAAGTCCAGACAAAGAAATCCACTCTTTTTGTGATTGTTTTGGCCAATAACTCTGAGGCTGGTGATGGTTCTTGTGGTTTTGCAAGGAAAAGCTTGTGCTGATTGGTGGGCTGGTGGGGATGTAAACACTTTACCACCTGGTGGGGTTCTGGAGGGACTGGTAAAGTCTAAGACATGTTCACTGAGCACGTTTATCCCATTTCTGTTGTTTTGTTTGTATCCAGAGTCCTTATCACTTTATATTCTCTGACTTTTAAAAACAGGACTTGATGACAGTTTGTGTTCTGTTCAGACCAAAAAAAAAGAAAAAGAAGAAAAAAAAAGAATGGGATCTATAATCAGAATTTTAATGTGAAGTTTAAGTTACTCAAGTCTTTTCAGTTTTTCTGAGCCGAATTTGTGAAAACTTGTCATTTAAAAAAAAAAAAGGAGAAGCAGAGATGCACTGGACAGCTTTATAGTTATATCACTAAAGATGAGTTAAATTATTTTGAACTGTTGGTGATGTACATCTTTCATTATATTTTTAGATGTACCTCAACAGCAGCAACCAGAGACTGGCTCTGGGTCACTTCGCCCCTTCGCTGATTTGTACCTCAGTCTCATCTCTTCCTGTAGTTCACACTGTGATTTCAAAAACCCGACTGGACTAGAACATGTCAGGCTGTGCAAACTTGATATATCATCCTGATAGTAATCCTTGTCAAACTGTAAGAAGACTGTGTGTGCAATTAATTGCTAGAGCAGGGTAACACAAACACTAGTATCAGTCCAACGATGCCTGGACAACAAGCTACAGGCCTCAACTCTTTCAAACCCTGAAAAGGAGAGGAGTATGCAGAAAATGAGACGGCTGTGTAAACGCCGCTGACTGCAGAAAGGAGGACAGTAATAAGTTAGTTCTTGCTGGAATCAAACGGCAGGATTTTCCCAGGAAACTTCTGATTGTACCTAAAGTATTTGTGGTGGGGCAGCTTTGGTTATACACCTGCAAAGTTGTAGGTTGTTTCAGAAGGTAAACTAATTGCACATTGGGAATCGAGTTTTGAACTATTCGATATTTTTTTTATTTTTACTTCAAGTTGTGCATTTTTCATGGACAAATGGTTGTAAATCTACCGACATCTCAGTGTAATGCCTAAGATTCTTGTCCCTGTTTGGGTCACAACCAACAAATCAATAAAGACCAAAACTTCAAACGTACAAAATGGCGAAGGGGCGAATTATTTAGTACTCGTAGGGAGTGGCTTGTTTCTTGTTTGTCTGTTTCTCTGCCCAGTGTATCTACTCTGAAAACTCTCACTGTGGATCATTAACCTTCACTACACGTTTTTGGTATAGACATTCCTCTGTAATGTTGAATTTTAAATGCCCTCTTGAGTTTATATTTTTTGGTTATACTCCCTTCATCCTCTTGTTAAGGTCTGTGAAATGTTTTTACGGCGTTGCAGCTGAAGCTTCGTTTGTCGGTACCTGCATCCTGGACTCCCAGAGTTGTTACCTAATTTAACATTGACTTTCTTGTTGTTCTGCATGGTACATGGGAATTTTTCACACTCCTCCCCACCCCCCCTTTCAAACAACAACCATGTTATTTATCACCTGTGACCTCTCTTGGCTAAAGAGGGAGTCCTCAATGCATTGCCTTCAAACGTTATTGTACTTGTCAGCACTAGGTGCACTGCAGCACGATGTCTGTAATGCAAAAGGTGTTTGTACATTATCTTTAGCCATCTCTGCAAAGATTTTCTTTTTTTTTTTTGCAGCTGCATTTCAATGCTTGCTTGTTTGTCAAAACGAAGAAGAAAAAAAAACAAACTCCAAACTGTGACCATACTACTACTATTACTACTAGTACTACTACTCTTCAAGTACTTCAGGGATTGTTCTGCGTGTGTGAACACAGGCTCTCAGCTACATTTGTTAGATAAAGCGTATCAGTTTCTCTGTATTTTAGACTTTGGAGAAGCAAAAAAAAAAAAAAAAAAAAAAAACACTAGTTTCATATTGAGATGAATAGGGGGGAATCTTTTTCAACTAACTCAAAAAGCCTTGACAAAAGGCGAGGCAGCTCAAAACAAAGTCTACATTTTTAGTTAGTTACACAGTACGTTCAGAAATGGGTGCAAAGTTGTACAAAAAAAACTTAGAAGAAAGAAATAATAAAAAAAAAAGCTCATACCCAAATTCACAAACTATTTTTTAAACCAAAGCACATTTGAATGATTATGGAACCATGTGTGGCTCTAAAAAATAAAAAATAAAAAAAACAAACAAAAAAAGAAACGTATGTATTTATCTCATTGTTTACATGAACTTTTACAGTTTTACAGACCTCACTCGAGGCTCGGCCAGTCAAAGATTTTTTATTTGACTTTCTCTTATGTGTGCGTGTGTAATTAAGATGCTTTTCCACAGACGTTGCTCCCAAAACAGAAGCATAGCATTAAACATGGGGTGAACTGCTGCATATTCAATTAGGGGGAGGGTGTGTGGTGTCTCCTCCCTGCCAGCTGGCTCTGGGGTGACCCTGCACCCCGTTCTCCTGCCCTCTGGCCCGTCTTCAGATGGGACTACAGGGAGTGGTGGGGGGAGTGGGCAGTGCATCCTTGATGTATTAATCAAAAAGGCATTGTTGGTCTGTTAGCGTAATGTTGCCTCTGTGTTTACCAAAACACGCTCGAGGCGTTGCTCCTCTGCTTAAGCCTTTCTAAATGGTCATCTAACACGGTACACCTCTTACCGGCCGCTGTTTTTAAAACCCATTCGGAGAATGTAGCATGATTTTTCTTTAACTTCTTCCTTTTTGTTCTTTGCATGTGAACAGGCTCATCAGGTAGTCTTAACTGTGAATCTTACTTGTTTTTGTTTGGAACTTTTACATTTTCCTGTGTTCTGTGGACAAAAGCGGCACAAACCTCTGGCTGGCCGAGCCTCAAACAACATTTGGCGCAAACACTTTTCAACAGTGTTCTCTGTTTTTTTTTTTCTTTTTTGTCATCAAATGTCTATTGTCGGTGATGAATGTATTTATTTCCGGGGCCTGCCCTCACCTCTCTAAAGAATTTTCTCAGTGTGTGAGACTGAGGTGGAGGCGGGACCCCCTATTTTTTTTTTTTTTTATTATTGTTTTTGTTTTGATGACTTTCAAGCTGAATCTTAAATGAGACTCAAACATAGCCATTAACCACAATCTGTGAAGATTTTTTTGTGTGTGTGTGTGTGGGAGAGCTGATGTATGTTTTTTTTTTTTCCAACTTAAAAGAAAATGGTCTATGGCATTTACACCTGACAGTCTGTAGAGTTTTTTTTTTTAATTCATTTGTTTAATTGAGTGGGATTTTTACCCACATTGTCTTGAGTTCTCACTAACTGGACACAGGGGATGTGAACTTTGACCTCCTCCTGTGTGTTTGTCTGTGGACCTGAGCAGGACGCTGTTGCTGCCTGTGCAGAGCGGAGGCTACTGTATGTTTTAAAACTTGCTCTCCCTGGGTGTTGCCATGCTGCTGATGCTGAAGAAAATAAAACTATATAAAGCAGAAACATGCACATAATTCACGTTTTTCCTCTTGAACATTAAGTCTCTTGTCTTAACCTTCCATCTTTCTTTTGTTTTCATTGTCTCTTATCTCCACTTTAGCATATATGTTTTGTTTTAGAAATGTTGGATGAGATAGCTTTACTAAGTGCACTTTGTATGTTTTCTAAAGCTTCTGAGAGGACTCAGAGGCTCTCATATCAGCTCCGATTTACCCGACGGTTTCTTCTTTCTCTTCGTACCTCATCATTGTTATTGTTTGCTAATATTAACTAAAACCCATATCATTATGCAGTGTTAGAAAAGCTTTAAAATAACACATGAAACAGGAAACCCCTCAGAGAGTGCGCAGCTCTCGGTGTTCCTTTTGTTACTCTTTAGCGACTTTTGCGATCCACCTTTTTCTTTAATCGGTGATATTATGAAGGAGCTGTTCTGT